ATCAAGGCTAGTCGCGAGCGGATGTGCCGATCATATCAAGGCTAGTCGCGAGCGGATGTGCCGATCATATCAAGGCTAGTCGCGGGCGGATGTGCCGATCATATCCAGGCTAGACGAGAGCGGGTGTGCCGAGCGTATCAAGGAAATAGTGAATGGAGTATGCGTCTCTCCATCTGGGGCATAACTGGTCACTGGCTACCGAGACCGAGGTCGGGGGAGCCAGCTATGTTGCTGGGTTTGCGTGAGCCTTGCAAGCTTCGCGTGATTTTATATTGAACTTTCGGGTACTGCCCCGTATACTGGTAACCATTATTTGTATGCAGGGGCCTGCACAGCAAGTATGCAGTTTGTTTCCGGTCAAGGGCCGAAGGGCCACTTCGTCCCAGCACGGGGTGCCTTCCGTCTGCCGTTCTGGGTACACAGAGATGGGTCTCCTGGTCGATCCCAAGACCCCTAGAGGGATACATCATATCATGTTGGGCCTCACCCTGACGCGGGAGGCATTCTGACCTGCGCAGTTGACCCCAGGTAGGCGCAAGAACCCTCACTGACGCAACGGGATCCCTGATCGCCGCAGGTGGTCCAACAATTGGCACATTGACTACAGTTCGGCTTGACGAACCCGTGGCCGGATTTGGGTTGGAGGGCCCACCGCTCGGCACTGGGGGTCCTGATTGACACATGGTGTTTTATTGTCTCAACGCAAATTTTCATCGTAAGATATCTCACTGTCAGCGGGACCAATCGGTGCGAGAGACCCTTTGGTATTCGGGGTCCCGTTCCCGTCCCCGTTCAGAAAATGTTCCTCTGACCGTCTTGAGGCTCTTTGTTGACACATGACACTCGGTTAGACGCTGTGGGTCCCTGGCCGACACAGGAGCCCCTTATCGTTGCAAGGGCCCCGGCCGATGCAAATCGCGAGCCCGGCATTGTCGCTGCTTGGGAAGTGGGCCCCCAGAGCTCTGACCGAAACTGAGCTGGCTGTTTGGTGTTGGTGATCTCTAGCCGGAATAAACATTTGAGATCATGTCCTCACGGGCTGGGGTCCTTAATGTGGCCTACAGCCAGCCCCTCGCGCGCTTCAGCCTTCAGGTCGAGCCCTTAATCTTTGGTTTCGAGGAATCCTTTGGCCCTTCTTCGGGCTCCCTCAAACACGACTCCTGGCCGATTCGGAGTCACTTGCCAACACAGGACCGCTGTCACGCCCTGGGGGCCCCTGAGCGATACAGGAGCCGCTCATCGCATCAGAGAGCCCGAACATTGTAAATAGCGGGACCTGGCCATGTTTCTGCTTGGGAAATGGGTATCCAGGCCTCAGACCGACACGGAGCCAATGTTTGTCTCCGTTTCGGGCCTATGCAAAAGGGATAGATGGACCTAATAAAAGGCCTCCAGTGGAGTTACTCTCACTGACATCTCAGGTCAAGGCACTACGGGTTGGGGGCCGACCCCAGTCCAATCGGACCCTTGGTCTTTGGTCCTGATGGGCTCTTCGTGGTCCCTCAAACACAGCACCTGGCGACTCGGGACCACTCGACGACACGGGACTCCTTGTCGGGCACTGTCGCCCCCTTGACCTAACACCATCATTGTTTCAAGGACCCGACCAATACAAATCACGGACCCGGCCTTGTCCCTGCTCGGTAAAGGGACGCCAGGGCTCAGACCGACACAGAGCCGGCTATTCGGTGTTGGTGGTCTCTGACCGATATTGAGGCCGCGCTGTCCCACGGCTCCCCAATCAATGCAAGAGGCCCTCTGACTGGCATTTGATACCACGCCCCTACGGATGGGGAGGCTGTCTCTATTGTGACCTACTATAGTCCTCCGAGCGCTTCGCTCCCATAAGCCTTTCTATCGGGCCCTTAATCTCTAGTCCTCAGTGGCTCTCCGGTCTCTCCTCGGGCCTCCTCAAACAAGGCTTGTGACGGACTCAGAACCACTTGCTGACACATTCCCCCTCTTGGGGTCTGCGGGGCCCTGACCGACACAGTGGCCTCGATAATTATTTCGGGGACACAGACCTATGCAAATCATGGGTCCCGGCCTTCTTCCGGCTTGGGAAATGGATCCCCAGGATTCAGACCGACACGGCGCCAACTGTTCGGCGTTGGTGGTCTCCGACCGACATAGACACCCGCACTGTCTCAAGAGGTCCTCATTCGGTGCCAGAGGCCCTCTGACTAATATTTCATGTCGCGGCCCTACGGACCGGAATCCCTCACGTGATTTACAGCTAGCTCTCCGGGCCCTCATGTCCTCCAACAAGCCTTTAATCTTCGGTTTTGATGGGGCCCCAGGCCCCTCTTGTTTCTCATTTAACACCCCCACTGTCTTTGGTCGAATCGGGGCCCCTTGCCAAACAGGATCCCCTGTCAGACACTGTGAGCCCTAACAGACGTTAGGACCCTGACCAATGTAAATAGCTGGCCCCAGCCTTGTCCCTGCTTAGGAAATGAGCCTTTGGGCATATGCTGACACGGAGCCAACTGTGAGGCACTGATCTGGTGGTGGTGGACTCTGGTGGCCGCGATCGCCGCCGAGGATCCTCTGACTGGTACTGAAGTGCCTGGCCCCGCGGGCAGGGGCCTTGACTACGACCTCCGGTCGGCCTGTCGGGCCCTTCAGTCCCCCAAATCGGGCCTTCAATCGTCAGTCCCAAGGGGCCCAAAGGGCTCGTCGGAACCTAAAGGGGGGAGCACGTGCGCCCTGTGTCATCTGCCTGTGTCACGTGCGCCCTGTGTCATCTGCCTGTGTCACTGTTTGTATGAGATGGTTGCACGCTCTGGCTATGTAGTGGAGTCGCGCTTGATCCCGTTTTGAAAGCACGACTGCACATGGGCCCGATTTGCGTAAAACCCCTCTGGTGGCGGGATGGTGCTGCCATCTGCATAGAGAAACAAGTAACAGCCAACCAGCTGCGTGTGGCCCCCCGCCCCATCTATTCGTACTGAACGCTCGTAAGTTCGATGACGCATTACGGTGCGTGATTCATGAAGCCGAGATTGGAATGTGAAAATAAGAAGGGACAATCAAGCACAAAATTAGCTATTAGAATCTGCAATCATTTCAATGACTCATCTCATCTCACTGCAAATAATCGCGACTTTCACTCACGCCAGTTGAAAAATACAGTAAAAAAACAAAAACTAATGAGACACTTCGGAAGCGGGGCAGTGTCACTCACAAGGCAAGTCTATGAGCGACGTGAGCAGCTGAACATGGACGATGGATGACCTTCCGAGGCATTCAGTTCTCAGCAACAGGTGACGGATGACACCAAAGGAGCTCCATATGTGAAGGTAGGTCGTTGGGAACAAATGGCCGTGCTGGTCATAATGCCGCGTGCCATCCTCAGTGTTCCTGACTGAACCAGTGCACATGCCAAAGAACTGAGAAAGCAATCAGAATGCGCATCTGTGGGGTTGGCTTGTATTCTGCGTCGCAAGCACACGCGCCAGCTTCATCGTTTTGCTCTACCGTTTTTGACAGTCATGGCACGCGCATGCAGCCATGCAGTGCCAACGCGAGCGCAGTCGTGGGCACGCGACGGCAGAGTGTCGGCCGTTGGGCCTGGCAGGCCGGCGTGCCGGCGTCGCTCCTCAGCGGAGGACGAGTCGTTCTCAGAACGGCACCCTTCCGCAGCGGCTGCTTGGCTGACGAAGGGGCTGCTGCTGCTGTACAGGCGCCGCCGGCCTGAAGCAGCGTCTCTCTGCGGTATGCTGTCCCCGCGGCAGGCAGCTGGGGCGCCCCGGCCCGTGCCCCAGGCGCGGCGCCGCGGACGGTGCCACGCGGGCCGATGAAAGAGTCCAGCGGCTTGGCAGACGAGCCGGTCCCAGGAATGCCGACTCCGGGGTAATTACATGCCTTCCCAGGGTGTTGTTTACACGTTGTTTGTATGAGCGGCGTGCCGGGTTCGACAGGCGCCAGTGCACAGCCGCACCCGCCGCTCGTGGCCCCAAGGAGACTGATCCGCCGCAGGAGCACGCGCCGCTCCACTCTGAACTGCGCCCGCTCCACTCTGAACTGCGCCCGCTCCACTCTGAACTGCGCCGCTCCACTCCGAACTGCGCCGCTCCACTCTGAACTGCGCCGCTCCACTCTGAACTGCGCCCGCTCCACTCTGAACTGCGCCCGCTCCACTCTGAACTGCGCCCGCTCCACTCTGAACTGCGCCCGCTCCACACTGAACTGCGCCCGCTCCACTCTGAACTGTGCCGCTCCTCTCTGAACTGCGCTGCTCCACTCTGAACTGCGCCGCTCCTCTCTGAACTGCGCCGCTCCACTCTGAACTGCAGCGTGCTAAAGGTCCGCCTGGGTCCTCTCACCGTGTCAACGGGCGCGATTCTGTATTTCCTGGGAGGCTCCGGAACTTTTTACCGTCACCGGCGCCGCGCCCATAAACACAGCTCCAGGCGTGCCGCAAATGACGGCAGCGCCCCTCCGAGCGAAATTAATTAAATCGAGCCGAAAAAGCGGCGGTCATTAGCGATGAGAGGAGCTGGCGGTGCGGCTCGCGGTACGTCGGCGGCGCGCGGTACAGTTAGAAGACGGCAGGCGCGGCGGTCGGTCCGCCCGCGGCGCCGCCAGGTCGTTGAACCGGCCTCCCGTAAGAGCCAACGGTACCGGCTCCGCTCGCCTTACGGCGCACCCACCAAGCGGCGAGCGCTGGAAACACCGGCGAGCGCAGCGCGGCGGCGAAGACGGCACGGCGGCACGTGCACCCGCGCGCGAACGCGCTGGTGGCTATGTGCGCGCGAGCGGAGCCGGCAGCGGACGGAGCGGTGTACGTCTGAGAGCTCAGCACGGAGCCGAGTGCGCCAGCGAGCTGGTGACAAGGCAAGCGCGCGCTGAGAGGGTGCAGCAGCGGCCGAGTGGCGCCTGCCGGCCGAGGACGGAGGGGGAATGCGAGCGCGCCGTCCACGCTGTCGCGACGGACGCTGACTGGTGACGCTCGTTCGGCGGTGTTGCCACGCTCCCTGCCGCGCACCGCCGTCACCATGGACATCTTCACGCACGACCAGAGCCTGGGCGTGGCCGGCGGCAGCATCGCCGACCTCAACGACTTCCCCAAAGTGACGTTCGACACGACCACCGACCTGAGTGGCTTCGCGTTCTTCGACGCGTCGGCGCCGCTCTCGCCGGCGGCGGCCATCAAGAAAGAGGAGCCGGAGCCGGCCACGAGTCCGGCTACCGACTACGACGGCCAGCTGGAGCCGCTGCTGCTGCCGGCCGCCGACGCGCCCGCCTCGCCGCCCGACGCCACCCCGTCGGAGCCGACGCTCGTGATCAGCGACGCGTCGTCGTCGACGCCGGTGGCGTCGCTCAGCGTACCGTCGTCGAGCACGGGCGCCGGTCTGCGGCCGGCCGGGGACAGGGTGACACTCGTGTCGCCGGCCACCTCGTCCGGCAGCCGCTCCGACGGCGCTGGAAAGTCAGGTGAGGTGCGCTGCGACCGTCATGGCGCGGTCCGACGCGCTAGGCACGTCCGTTGTGGCTTGTGCGGTAGCTGGCGTCCTCAAATCGGGTGTCCAGGCGCGCTTGTGCAGGCCACGGCCAACGAGGCATCATCGGTGCGAATTGGGGATGGGTCTTCAAATGATATGGATTTGGAAATGAAATCCGCACAGAAGAGTTCTTGGACCATTTCTTTTGTCCGATATTGAATAGCTGACTTTTTGTTTATAATAAGATTTGAGGTGGAATCTTTAAGATGCAAAGTTTGAGGCTCGGCTTACGTCACATTCCTGAACAAATTATAAGCAATCACCAGTGCCCCAGTGCCCATAGCATTGTTGGTTTACGAGCTCAGCGCACGACATTGAACAGACAGGTATTTGGGTATCAAATTAAAGAAAAAATTGCGATGTGGTATGTCTTGCGTTATTTATCACTCACAATCATGGTTTGCTCACGCAATTCACATTTATACCCAAATTTGCGCTACCCCAATATCCTTTCCAAGTTTTTCGGAACTTTTGCAAATTCTCCAATGCAGTTGGCTTTGAAAACCAAGCCTCATACTACTGATGGATTTTGAAAAAAAATAAAGGTTTTGTTGCTTGATTTCAACATATTTCGTTTACATCAGGCAAATGTATGTGTATCTTGTAGCGCATCTATATGGTTGCGTATAGTTTATTAGTTGCATGGTATATGGTTGTTCCACAGTTGTATAGTATATACTTGTTTATATAGTTGCACAGTACAAATCGCTAATCTGGTTGCATAAAGTTGATAACGCGCGGAGTCCGGTGTGGGGCCAGCTGGAGTCCAAAAAGCAGGCACCTGATCGAGAGGCTATGTATGCGGGCTTGCCAGGTGAGGTCTTTCACAAGACGAATGGCAGCATCCCATGCTACTGAGCTTTCGTGATAAGCCTAAACAGCATTCTCCCCTATCGTGTCATGGGAGAGGAGACACGATCCCCTTCCCTCTCCCATGCCCTGGGCGTACCTCAGCGTCAGAGGCTGTGGCAGACCTGACGATGGGCAGATCTGGCGCGGCAGAATGCGCGTGGAGCGCGGGCCCGGTGTGCCGTCCCCGGTAATAGGGATCTGCACGGCTCGCGTCTCGGCCGGCCGACACCTCGTCAGCCGGGCCCACGCCGCATTCCACCTCTCCCGCGCGCCGCTAATTCTCCTTTCAAGCACTCTCATCGTTTATTCACTGCGCAGCGGCGACTGGGCGGCGCTGTGGCGGGCTGGGGCCCGCGGCGCAGCGCTGCAGCCGCGGCCATCGCGCCGCGCCGCTCCACCCCGCCCGGGCCGGCCTCCGAGCCGCGGCAGGTCCGACGACGGGTGCGCCGCTCGCGCCGGCCCGTCACAGCCGACGCCGACGAGACGCGAAGCCGCACCGACGCGGCGTGTCGTCGGCGACGACGCCCGCGTCAAGCCGTCGCGAGGAGACGGTGCCGATCTGCCCGCAGCGCTGGCTCGGCGGCCGAAAAACTGCCGTCGCCGTGCCGCGCTGAGTCGGCGCTGCCAAACCGGTCGTTGCTGAGGACGATGACACTAGTCTGGCTGCCGCCCGGCTGCTTCTTTGTCAGAGCCAGCAACGGCGAGCGAGTATTTAGGTTATCCCTCCTGAGGACATTCACCATGCAGGTGCTTGTCAGCCTGCCCTGGCCAGCGGCTATGATGCAGCAGAATGCAGGGCAATATCTGCAGCATACCCAAAGCCCAGCGAATAGCCATGTGCTTTATGTGACGCTGAACTGTACCTTGTTGTTGTGTGCAGCTAAAATATGCTGTCGATTACTCACTCGTGACTTTGGTTCCGCATTTAATGTCTATTGTTACGGTCAGCTCACAATTCAGACCACGCAGTTCTCCGGCCCTTCTCATCAGCCGCGACCCAACAAACTCGGCGATCCCCAACCTCAGCGGTCCTCAACCTCAACTTCAGCGGTCCTCGACCTTAACCTCAGTGGTCCTCAACCTCAAGCTCAGCGGACAGCGGCTCAGCTGTCAACCTCAGCGTGCTGAGGTTCTCAGCTGATGGGTACTTGGAGGTTGGCCAAGCGGTTTCGTCCGGGTTAGTTCGGTTCGCGTCACGTTGCGCGCAATGTCGGTAGCCCGGATGCCGACTACGGGCTGCCGCCCCTCCCCCCACACGTGGTGACTGCACCGCTACCGGCGGCGTCAGAAGCGCGGCCACGGCTATCTCGCCGTGATCGCCCGGGGCCGGGGAGCAGCCCTCTGTGAACCAGGTCACGGGTCGTTGTCCCTCGGCGGCGCTGCCGGCAGCCGCCTTATACGGCTGGGCTGGCGGGCGGCAGCACTCAGCGCGTATCGACTCCGGGGACGGGTCGCCGTGCCAGATCGCCGCCCGGCCGCCGGGAGCATTGAACTACCGGTTTATGTAGATACTGTGGCATCGCCAACCCATCCACGCCGGTCACGAGTAGGCTGACCCGGAGCCGGGGCGCTGACGGGGCGGGACGGAGAGCTCCGTGACGCTGGCTCCGGCCTGTGCCGCGGCACACCGCAGCCGGATGATGCCATGGCGCAGTCGTATGACGCACGACATACAGGAGCTGCGTGAGGCGATGCTGGGTCAGTATGGCGGCATGTCGGAACTAGCATTTGTTCCGGCTCTCACCGGCAACAGCCAGCGCATGAAGGCGCTGTATGCCCGCCCAATGCAGCGTCAGACTGTCTGTCTTTCGCAGGGTAGTTATACATGTGGCGAGCTGAGTTTGCGGCTTGTCTGCGCCGCCTTTGGTGAGGAGAGGAGGCGCTGCCGTCCTATACGCATTGTCTGTGCCGTCTGTACTAACGACCTACAGTGCTTCAGGACAAAAAGTTGAAAGACGAAAAGTAAAAGGGCAAAAAGTCAAGTGGCAAAAAACAGTACATCAAAAGGATAAAATTCAATGGCAAATGGTAAAAAAGCAAAAGTAAAAAAAAAATAGAAGGCAAATAGAAAAAGTAGAACGGGCTGTTAATCTCCACCCAACTGCTCCGGTCAGAAGCCCGAATTTCATAGGGCTTGCGACTGAATTAAAGGGAATGTCCCACATTTGAATATATTGAAGCAAGCAGGAGGAATGAACAGCTCACTTAAAACTATTGGCGTGTTTTTCAAGTGCAAAGGACGGCTCTAGACAGCACAATTCTCCGTTAAGTAGATATGTTCCTCAATGCGTTATGGTTTGATTGTCATGTACCTTGCACAATATTGGTGGGGAGTCAATTGACTGCCGTCATATCTGGAGATTACGCTCACCAACGCCAAATCTGAACGCCTCAACAATTATATTTGTCTTTGCCTTGATCGCCGCATGGCTAAAAATATCAGGATTTGAATGACGTCGTTATGATGTCATGAATGCCAAGATGGCTTTGAAATGCTCCACCCGATATACCTTTCCCCATTTTCGCGGGCGTGTAGCCTAGGAGCTAGAGGGGCTTAGGTCGTAAGGACAGGGTTGTGAACAGCATCGAAAAGTCTTCAAGATGGCTATTTCAGTTCAAACTCCCATATAGATGTGGAACATTCCCTTTAAGGGCTCTTGATCTTAGGAAGGGCAGGATTGTAAACAGCACCGAAAGGCCTTCAAGATGGCTATTTCAGTTGCACCCCCATATAAATGCGGAACACTTACTTTAAGGGCTCTTTTGATCAGTTGCTCATCCAGGAGGATGGGGAGGAGGCTAGGAGGCAAAACCTATTACACTTTTATCCTGTTAACTTTTTAGAGCTCCGTTTCTTGTCAACTGAGTTTTTCGCATTCGACTTATTCACCTTCGACTTTTTCACATTCGATCTTTCATATTCGACTTTTTCACATTTGGCTATCAGTCGTTTGACTTCTTGTCTTCAACCTTGGGTGCGGTGACCGTGCTGCCGGGATTGCCGTCGTGTTGTGGCCAGAGGTGCTGTCCGGGGCTGAGGAGGGCCGTGCTGGTCCGTGGCGACGCCGGGGGCCTCTGTGACCGACCTGCCGCCGGCCGGCGTCGGCCGGGTCGCAGCCGACCGCAGTCGGGCCAGCTGACTGCGGGTTACAGGCGTGACTGACCGGCTAACTGGTACTGGGGAATGCCGGAGCACGATCCGGGAAGGGCTTGTGAAATACCTATCGGAAATGCGCAACGGAATGAAAATGGGAGAATAAGCGGATCTGTCTCAACGAAAGTGAAGGAGACCTAACGTGCTGGTGTTTCGGCTAATGAATCGCCTTAGATGGAAAACCTCGGCTGGAAAACTTATGAAAGTGACTTTTCGTTCTCTTTAAGGGCGTTTCAAACCGTTTGAACCGGCGTGACAGCGGTGCACCAAAAATTATAGACAGAAGGATGAGAGGATCCCCTGCTTGCACCACGTAAGGCATAGGACAGCGAACGGCTATGCCTTACGTGGTGACTTATGCCTATGCCTTATGGGTATTACAAGGCTTATGTGGAACACATTCGACGTTGGCCACGCCTTTGAGCTTAAAAATAGAGTACACATAGCTGGTAAATCTGAACATGCCAAGCTCACACCCATCGCTCTATTTGCCTAGGTGTGTTCGGGCGGGCGTCTGTATTGTCCCTCAGCACCAGGGAGTGTGTCTCACCCCTTTTATCCATGTGGCGTAACCCTTAGGTTCTGGCGTCACCTGAGCCCTGCGCAACAAACCGCACAGTTTAACAAACTAGCCTCATCCGCAACGTATGCGGAAGAACGGAAGGCATGGCGAAGCAGCCAATGCCCCTGTTAGCAATGCTAGCAAAACAATACATCTACAGTTGACTGTATCGCTGACGTGTTAGCAGCCACATGGAAGGTAAATCGATGCATCAGTGCGGCGAGGGAGGACACGGCGAAGTGTGACGGCGAGGGAGGACACGGCCAAGTATGACGGCGAGGGAGGACACGGCCAAGTATGACGGCGAGGGAGGACACGGCCAAGTGTGACGGCGAGGGAGGACACGGCCAAGTGTGACGCCTTA